TGTCTTCTGTGAGCTCTGGAGTGCTGGCGGGTTTTTCTCAGTGTTCCAGCTCCATCCTCAGTGGGCAGCAGGCTCCCTGCTCCCGCGACACAGTGTTTAATGTCTGCTGTCTTGCCCTCCTCTAGAAGGACATGGCTGTTGCTTTCTACGCAGTGCAACGTTACTGCTGATGTGGGGCGTGGAGGGTGGGGACAGGCTCTCAGGGCTCCTACTCCAGTCTCTGGTTCAGGCAGGGCCTGTGCATCGGAGTTTCAGGGCTGGGACTTCCTCCGCCTTCCTGTCCCCCCCCCCGCAGTGACAGACAGCTCTACCTCCTAGCCCTGCTCAGGTGGGTCTGCCAGAGCCTGCTTTGTGTCATTGCAGGATTCTGCATTTGACAGGCTTCTGGCCCTTGCCCCTCCAGTGGCTTAGTGTCAGTGCATGGGGAAGCTACCCCCCACCCCAGAACAAAGGAGAGTTTCCTGGAGTCATGGCAGGGACGAGGGATGCGATGACTTGTTGCCCCTCCCCCAGAAACAGACAACTTTTGCCTCATGCCACTCAGAGTCCTGTCTAGGGCGTGGAGTCTCTTGCTCCTCTGCCCGCAGCAGCTGGCTGTTCCTTCTTATCAGAGGAGAGTCCGGGGCATCTGCAGGCCTTATGCCTGTGCCCTGTGGCAGTGGATCACCACCTGGTACTCAGGCAGGGCCCAGAGGACGAAGGTATGCCTGCCCCACCCTCCAACTTCTGCAGGCCCTGCAGGAGCCTGTACCATGCATGGGCTCTCTCAGGGCTCCTGCCCACCCCGCCCCCAACCTTTCTTGTGAACAAATAGCTGCTCAGGGAGAGTAAGCTCTCCTTCTGTCTAGGGCTCCCAGGGATACTAAACTGTCATGCTAGCCCATAATCAGGCTTCACAAGTTTGTTAATTTATTAGGTGTTTTCTTCTTACCCACTTTCATGGCAACACCTCTTCTTCCTGTGCTCTGCCAAGAGAGAAAAAGTTTATGTGCCCCATCTTTTCTCCCAGGGGCTTGGCACCCTTGGGAATTCAGTTCATCTGAGTTTCAGCTCAGGTGAGGAACTCAGTCCCTTCTTAAACAGGAGCAGATCTCCCGCTTCCTTTTTAAGAGACTTGCCAACCATCCACACATGGCCTGCAAAACCCTGCATCCATGTGTTGGCCTGTCGTCCAGCCAAATCTCGTAGCACTCTCCCGCTCCCTCCCTCACTGTGCTCCAGGAACAATGATCGCTCAGGTCCTCAGGTGTGCGGAGCTCTTCCCAGCCCAGAGCCTTTGCACACGCTGTTCACTCAACCCGCAGCGCTCTTCCCCATGTCCGTACCTGGATAACTCCAGCTCCTCCAAAGACCCTTCCTTGATACTACGCCCTCCCACCCCCAATCCAAATTGGCACATAAATTACTTCTTCATTCTTTTTCACAGCTGAACAATAGCCCATTATCCAGATAGATTGTTTTAATTTAATCAACCCCCTTGGGTGGTTATTTAGATTATTTTTGGTCTTCTGTTTTTACAACTAATAATGTATATAAAGCATATCTATAGGATACATTCCTAGAAGAATTGCTGGATTAAACGGTACATGAAGATGGTTCAGCATTGTGGTTGTCAGGGCTGCATCACCTACCAGCTGTATAACCTTGGGCGAGCGTTTAACCTTTCCTCATTTATAAAATGGGGTTAATAACAGCCCTCTCTTAGAATTGTGAGGCTTGGTGACCTGGTACATATATTAAGCTTAGAACAGTGTCCAGCACATAACTACTCAATAAATGTCAACACTTACTAGCTTTTAAGATTTTTAGATAGTTTTCAGCCCATAAATATGTTTGTCAGTTTATGCTTCCATCAGTATGAGAATGCCTCTCCACACCCTCAGCACAGCGTCTTGTTAAACTACTTTTTCATCTTTGCTAACATGACAAGCATGGCATAGCATCACAGTTTAATCGGTATTTCTCTTATTAAGAGTGAGTGGAGCATATTGCACTTGTTTACGTGCATTTATGTCCTGTGTCCTGAATGTTCCACGTGCCCCACAGACTCCTATTTGTCATTGCCCTTTTCCTTACTGATTGAAACAGTTCTTTATGTAATGGGAAATTTAGCCTTTGTGTTACAAGTTACCCTTTCATAGTATTCAATACTTTTCCTTCTGAGTACTGATTTCTATTTTTAATGATGTATTTATTTCTGATTATTTTTTTTAAAGCTACTTATATAAGATCAAGGTCCATGTTTATTTGCTCATCATTGTATATTAAGCACCAAGGAAAATGCCGAACACCTAATAAAAGATCAGTAAATATTTAATGAATGGGCCAAATATGACAAAGAAACTCTCAGTCCTTAAATAGATTGGGAAATTGGAAGGCAGCTATTTGGTATGGAAATACGATGAGTTTCGTTTGCAATATGTGAGTTTTAGGTGACATCCAGTATTCAAAGTTGAACATGTGGGATACTTTTATTTGGCAGGATACACTCATAAAGATTTTGGAGTCATCACCATGAAGTGGTTGATTGGAAAAATAAGATCTCTGATGGAAAGAATGTTATGTGAGAGTCCACAGACAAACACTTCCAATCAGAAACAATTTCAAGTGATTATAGTTGTCATAACAATTTTAAAATAATTATGAAAAGAAAAGAGAAAATAGAAGCATTATGTATTGCAAGTGTAAAGATATGGGGAAGACAGAAAAAATTTAATGCCTTGGAACAATAATGGTTATTGAAGAGTATTTAATATAATTATGCCCAAATTATGTATTGTGAAGAAAACCTTTACTAAGGGAATACTGAGTCCATCATAAGCTTGTGGAAATCAAAAGTGCTCCCTATTATATAAAGAAAGCTATTTGGTTTATCAATACATGGAGTTTTTTAGTTTACCATTGGACATTGATTATGTTTTCTATTACTGAACTATCACAGAGAGATAGTTACTGTGAATTTAGTCTTTGAGTCTGTGTCTTACAGATTATATTAACTGCATGAAAAAGAAGAAACTATTCAGTCTTCTCAAAAGAAATTCTTATTTTTCAGAAGAGAATTTATCCTAAAATAAGCTATACATATTATTTAATACACAGGAATATCTTAATGGCTACAGTCATCAAATAGCCATTTGACTTATATGGATATGACTTGGTACCTTTAATAAGTCTGTTGTGAAGTTACAGCTCTTGTTTAATAATTGTTAGAAAATAATCAGGTCAATAATGATGGCATAGGGGATGTGGTAGCCCAATGTCAGTCTCAATTTTCAAATGATCCTGTGGATTAAAAGATACTGCCTTTAAAGTATACATTTTTTCTTCTTTTCATTAAAGTCTGTGAATTGGGAAATTAGAAATATGGATACAATTATGCTGGACTGACAAACCATTTAGACAAAAGTCTTAGTCACGAATTAGAATGACTTTCTGCTTAACTTTTATCTGTCTTTGCCTTATTGATCAGAAATGCTGGTATTTCTGAGCATTTTTGCCATGAAAGCAAGGTTTTTATGTACAGTCATCAGATTCTTCCCTGCAGGTCGGGGCTTGGCAGTGATGAATGAAGTGCCGTGTAACAAAGACGCAGCAGCAACCGTCTGTCACGGTCTGTCTGACTGAGCATATGCTGGCCGTGAACACCAGAGATGTAGACAGTGTCACTCCAGAGGCTTCTAAAAAGCCAGTCAATTGCTTATGCTGAGTTCCTAGAAGTGCTTATTTTCTGCTTAAAGCAGGAACATTTGTGCATTAAGAGAGAAAAGGAACTCCTAGGTGGCCTGTGTTAACCTACAAAGGGAATAGTAACGAATATTTTGCCAGGGTCTTATCTTATACAACTTGTGTTCAAAGACTGGAGATAAATATAAATTAAAGCTTGTTTGCTTTTCCTTAATTATAAAAACAACATCTTTAGAGCTGTTTTCCAAGAGTATTCTCTACAAAGCATATGGTGATAGAGTCAGGTTGTATTTCATTCACATAGTGACTGTTCCTACATTTTGCTATGCCTCTTGCTGAGTCTCGGGTAAATGCACGTCGGTGGTTTGTTGTTACAGCCCAGTGACTTCCTAAAGAAGCAGGCTGCCTGAGCCATGGAATCTGTTAATCTTTTCTATCCCCATCAGAGGAGCCATGATAAGCCAGCATCAGAGGACTGATCTAAAGGGTGAATTAAAATCCTTGGCGGTACTCAGGGATGGAGTGGAGAGTTGAAAACGATGTGCTGTGCCAGGGGCTGCTAATTGGAATATAAGAGTATGTCTCTATCACAGTGTGGCCCTGTTCTCTCGGTGTGACGAGGACCAAAACTTGCTCATGTTCAGAAATCTGGCCAAATAACTACTTGCTTACTTCAGTCCGTATCTCTTTATAGTTAACTGGCTAGTCTCAATCCCATTATAAAAATGGAAGCTAAGTTTAGCAAATTGGCTGTTTATGTTTAGTGCACAAAATTCTTTAATTAACAAAATAAAATACCGCAACCCATTGTAAATCACTGCTAAGCTGTTAAACTTCATAAGGAATCTCGGCTTGTCCAAAAGCTGCTTGCAAACCCATGCTGACCTGGCACTCACGCGCCGTTCCCTGTGGAGCTGAGGGAAAGAACGGAAAGGCAGCCAATTAAACTCTGAGGCAGAGTAGACAAGCGGAGGCCATCTTGCCCATCCTTCTGCCTCCAGGCAAAAACCGTCCCCTGCACCAAAAATTTTTGCTTGAATCCTGCTGACAAAAAATGCTCATCACATGCAAATGACAAGTCCTAATCCAGTTAATGCAACTAAAGTAGGTTGTTAACTGTTCAGGACTGACTTATTGTGTTCTAAAGATGCTGAGTATGAAAGCTCACCTGCATGGTTTTAATTCCTTCTTTCTGGAAAATTATTTTGTACAAGAAACGTACTTGAATAAGCGTAGAGATGTAGGAAGTGTGTGCCCAGAAATAAAGTTATCTTTGTCATCTTATTAAATGTATTTTTGGTTGCCTTTCACTCTAGGTCTACCTTACGGGTGGGAGGAAGCTTACACAGCAGACGGAATCAAGTACTTCATCAAGTAAGTACAAGCATCAACCAAGTAAGCAATTTTTTCACATCTGGAGAGAACCTGGAATTGCAGAATAATCAGTAAAACCAAGAAACCCTCTTGGAGGTTACAGAAATTAGAAACAAGAAATGAAGCCTCACCATTTTCATTTCATGTGATTTAAATGCTAATATCAGATACCGTTTGGGGGCGGAGAGGGGGGGAGGGGGAGGCCTAGTAATAATTTCAAGGGAAACATCTAAAAATTGGAATAGGTTCATCATTTGAACTTAAATATTAACTGCCTGGATTCACTTCTAGCTAAAAGTATTAATATTTATGAAAAGTTAATCTAATGCAAAATCCACTTAAAATTTTTATTAATACTACTAATAATTAACCTTTTAATGCTTTGCACTGTACACATTCATTCAGCTGCAATTACTGTTTTGAGCGTTTGCTGTGTGCCACGCAGTGTATCATGACTTGCAGATATCACAGTGAAATATGCAAACTAGTGCCCTGAGATCATGGAATTTACATAATAGTAAGGAGAGACAGGAAATAAATAAGAGAGAAGTTAGACAGCATATGAACAAACCTTATCTCAGTGGAGTCTCAGGGTACCCTTGCAGGTATGTGTAGCTTATTTTCCCTATTTGACAGATGAAAAAAAATAAGACCCTAGACTCGTTGCCAGAAAATCCACAGCCACTAAATTACCAAGCCAGAAAAAAATTAAAGTCTTTGGACTCCAAGAGTCTTTCCCGCTATACTAGACTGTTGTTGCTAGAGACCTATCTTGGAAAGCCTCAAAAGGAATCCTTTTCCTAGCTGCTGGACTGGTTCGTTTTACCCTGGACAAAGCAGTCTGGTGTACTCGCACTACGTGTTCTGGGTAATTCCTTTCATGGCAGTGTTAGTGTTATAAGGGTGAAAAGGGGACTCCGGAGAGAGAGTCCTAGGATCCCAAGGTTACTGGGTAAACGTTTGGGGAGGAAAAGGGAGATGCGTCTTTGCTGTCCTTTCAAATGTTCAAGTATTTTCCAAAGCAATATCCAGAGCTTGGATTCTCAAGCTCTATGACTTTGCACAGCTTCCTATATTTCTCTTCACCTCAGTTTTCTCATTCTAAAATAAGGGACATATTACCTACTTGATAAAGTCATTAAATGTTAAGAACCTAGCATAGAACTTTGAACATAGTAGATGCCCAATAAATACTCATCAATTTACAATAGGGAGGCATCGTCATGGTAGAAACCAGAAAAAAAAAAAACCCCATGAAAAATCATGTGACCATGAAAAACATTGAGAATTAAAACGCTTCATATTTGACAAAGAAAGACCTAAGGAAACACTAAGGGTAAATGGTCAAAGTGTTGTCGTGATGTCCTTTTATCTTACCATCTCCAGCAAAGAGTAACTAATAAAGCAAAGCTGTAGTGGATCACATGTGAAGGAGAAAGGGACTTTGGAGCAGAGGGCCCAGGAATTCCATGCCCAGGTTAGTTTAGGACCATACTGTGCACACCCAAAATCATAACTATTTGGGAAGGAAAGTGGCCCTCTATGTGCTGTGTTAACCATATCTAGTCCCTGGAAGACTGAATCTCTGTGCTGTAGGGGTGGCAGGAAAATGAAAAACCACATTCAAATTTGCATTGGTTTCTTTCTCATGGTAACTTTGTAATGAATAAGGGAAGAGATATTGGAGGGGAGTATTTCCTGAGCACTCGCTGGTGCTGAATACCAAGCACATGTCAGGTGTATTTTTCTATGCATTGCATCATTCGGTGTGGAAGGTGGGTGTTGCTTAGCTCTTATCAGGATGGTATTGTGATAGCGGTGAGCAGCTTCCCGCCCTCAGGCGTGCCTATCTCCTAGAAGGTCCCCGAAGAAAATGCTCTATCAAGAAAGGCAAACTAGCATTCATTATTAACTGGGGTTATGAATTCAAAGTCCTTTGGAAAATGTCAGAAATGAGTCTGGCCTCTGTGGGAACTCCTTTACCTGAGCTTGGCCTTAGCCATCTGTTACTGTTGATGTGTTGGAAAAGTCATGATGTATTTTTTCTATGTTTTTCGTTGCAAAAATGCGCCCGCCATGACTTTTCTGACAACCCAATATATCCCAACGCGAAGGTGAGTGTCAGAGCCTAACCGGTGTCCTATGAGGAAGGATACTGAAGGCACAATCGCTGACTACCATGGAAAAGGAGGGAGTAAGAGGTGGCCCCCCAAAAAGTGAGCGTGTCCCATTGCCTGGTACCCAGCTGGCTTAAGCCACTGCCCCTTGCAGATTGGAACAGTAGCCTTGGGCCGGGCTCCTACTATGAGGGAGAATAGCATCCAAGGAGAGGAAAGAAGAGAATGAAAAAATAAGCCCTTTGGCCGCCCTAAGATCTAACTCGCAGACCCTGTGGAAGGAATAGAGACACAACATTGATATAGTCCACTCCACTAGTAGAAAATATATCCCTTAGACCATCCATTCTTTCATTTGACCTTAATCTCAACTCATAGGAAAGCAGAACAGCGATAATAAGATAGATTTGTTCCCCAAAGGACAATGGCAGATATCATTGTCTCACCATTACAGCTGGAGACGTTATATTTAAAAAAGCTAAACTTGTCAAAGCCACTTACTCGTAGTAAAATTATAGAGCCAAAGATATAGGGTGGTCTGGCTGCAAAGCCATCCCCGACACACACACACACACACACACACACACACACACACACTCCATCTTCAACTCCTTATTGTAACATAGTATGTTTACAAATGACAAAATATTTTAAACAGATCTTATTTTAAGTAGAGCTCTATACTTTATCCATTTTAAATTGGCAGAATAGAAACTTAGTTCTAAGAATAAGTAGTTATCTTACTTATTCTTACTTAGTTCTAAGAATAAGTAGTTATCTTACTTATTTGACCAGAAATTAGTAAGGTCAAAGAGCAAAGATAAGAAAATCTAACATATACTGGTGCTTTCTTTACCCAGCCTCATGGAGGAATAGGGTGCTTACCGTGAGTTGTTTTTGTTTTGTTTTTTTCTTAGAAGTGAGCCCTGTTCAAGCACCAACGCTTATTCTAGCTTATCTATTCTTGATAAAAGCCTTACTTAATAAGTGCTCCATACTTCCTTGCCTTCTTACACTGAGGCCTCTGAACAAAAACAAATTATTACGAACATCAATCTTATCCATAACGCAGTGAGCTGTGCAGGGGGATAGTAAGCTGGATGAGCTAGAATACAGACACAGCTGTCATCTCTTTGCTCTCAACGTGCCTGTCCACCCCCTCATCCCATTCTTCTTCATCCTCCACACACTTCACCCTCTTCCCTTGGAGTTTCTCATTTGAAGAGGACAGGAGGCCAGATAATCAGACTAGTTTGAATTGCTTGTAAATAGCCCCCCGAGCATGTGTCTGTGAAGGGGTTTGTCTGTGAGTCGGGTGCATAAGTTCTGGTACAGGTGGATTTGATATCAGGAAGGCCAGATGGTCTCGGAGAAAGAAGGACATGGGCCTTGGAGTTGAAGAAACTTGGGCTCAAGTGCTGGTGTCTCCAAAGAATAGCTGAATGACCTTGGACACGTGTCCTTAACCTGTCTGAGCTTTAATTTCCACATTTATAGAATGGAAAGAATATTAGTGTTTCATGGAGTTCCTGTCCAGAGTGAATGAGCTTATGTATGAAAAGAGCCTATCATAGCACCGGACTCAAAAATAGATACTTTGAGCAAAGGTGAGCCCCATTTACTCCCCACCCTCACTCTAACCCTTTAATGGGGGTTGCTTCATGGCTCTCAGCTGCCTTCGGATCAGTGGTGTTGCCAGATGAGCAAACATCCACTATACATCTTTCTTGGAATGGTATTTTGTTGTTTCGCTTTGTTTTGTTTTGGTTTCTTAATCTTTATCCTCCACTACCCAACCAAAGTTTGAGCTTGGGTAGCCTGTGTTAGCTTTTGGCTAGGAGTGGTTCATTTTCCAGGTAAATGTACTTTGGAGGCAAGAAATAATAAGTAATGAACTCAGGTCATTACCTCTCTCACCTTTACTTAAAAAGAACACTGACTGAAATCACCCTTCCGGAACACCGGAGGACATGATGGCCTGTATACATGTAACCTTCTCCTTGAGATTGACATCTGTCACTGTCTTCCCAGAAATTGAATTGTTACATCTGATGGAAGCCAAGCCTCAGGCAAAGCAATAACTGTCAGTGCTGTCCCAAGAGTGCCCAGACGAATATAGTCCTCATTGAGCATTCCTATCTATCCACATGTCCATTGCACAGCTATGAATATTTTCTAGCCATCTACTTAAGTTCCGACGCAGGAGAAGAAAGTATTTCACCTGGTGTAAGCAATTTATTAAAAGTGTTGGCATTGCTAGTGTTTCGTAGAACTAAAAACATGTCTGACAATATATGTGTAGGTGTGTATGTGTGTACCAGTATGTGGATGCACATATGCATATAGGCAGGGCTTGATCACTTGAGATATACACACATACACACACCCGCACACATTCAAGGGAAAACTTTCTTATTTTCTCCCTAGAGAAAGAGTTGCAGCATTCTTAAATTGAATGACAAAATGTCAGTTATCTTAATGGTGCTATAATGAAATCGTCTGATTAATTTGACCATTTTTCTACCCAACTTCTTATCTTCCCTTTTCAAGTTGTATACTATTCCAGATTTATAGTAGTCTTTGGTATGATTCCACTTTAAAAGTTCATGTACTTTATCTGTATGTTACATCATTTAACAAAATCATCATGTAAGTTACGTTTGATGGTGAAAGAGAATTTATTTATTTATTTATTTATTTATTTATTTATTAAGATTTTATTGGGGAATCGGGAGGGAACACATTGGGGAATTGGGGAAGGGGAACAGATAAGTTGCTGTCCTTTTGTTCATCAGTCTAGTTGTGGAGGATGTCGCTTCACTGGCCCATGTTGGTATTGTGATCATTGCGCTCTTCCCGGCTGAGGCAGACCAGTCACCAGCC